GAGGGGGGGCTCCGCGAGGGTGGGGGCGGGGACCCCGCGGACGGCGGCGGTAGAGAGCCGAAGCGGCGCAGCAGCGGCGGGAGAGGGCAAGCGGCCGGCGAGGGTAGCGGGGGAGGGGCTGACCTCACGGAGTTGATGGAGAGAACGAGGTTCGTCGGTTTTCTGTGCGGAGGGAGGGATTTGTTTTTTGTTTTGTGCTGGTGTGCGTTCGTGCTGCAGCAGCGAAAGAGTTTGCCAAAAGACACGAAACCACTAGACCAGTCAGCGCTGACTAGTCTTGTGGCCTGACTTCGGTTGCTACAGAGGAGCCGGGGGTACCTAAGGGGGGGGGAGGGGTCGCGGGTTGCTCTTGTCCCGGTGGCAGGTGAAGCTGTTGTCGAGTTTCAACCGAGCGAAGCAGGCCAAACACACCCGAACTCGAATCGTTGCTACCTCCTTGTCGCGGATCTCCCGAAGGTCCCTCATCGCCCGCGTGGAAGCTCTCGGCGTCGGCAACCCCCGTCCCTCCTCCGGCGGCACGGCACGACCGTCGCCGCCCTCCGCCGCTCCCTCGACGGAAGAACGTCCGGCCGGGGAAGCGGCAGCCGCTGTTCCAGGCCCCCGGGAAGGAGAAGGGGAGGCTTCTTCCGCTCCCAGCAGTGGCTGCGGCGGCGGCGGCGGCGGCGATGGTGGGTCTTTGATCATCCTGGTGCAGGTGGTCTGCTCGTGTCTACGGCACCTTCGTTACCCGCGGAGCCGGCTCCTGGGGTTGAACCTCCTCGTTGCCTTCGGGCGGTGTTGCGACGACGAGGCCAGGCTGCAGCGGCTAGTGCCGGTGAGACCCCACGGGGGGTTGGGGGGTGTCTTCCAAGAGAGAAGAGACAAGGGGGGGGGAGAGAGAGACAGGGGGGAGGGGGGCGAGCCAGACAGACAGACAGAGACAGAGACAGAGACAGAAAGACAGAAAGGCAGAAAGGCAGAGACACAAACACAAAGAGAGACAAGAGAAAGGGTGAGAGGGAGAAGGGGCAGGGGGCGGGGCGGGGTTAGGAAACGGGAATGGGCACAGAAATCGCACCGGAACGACATCAACGGCAGCGAGCGGACAGGTGCCAACACCAGAAAGGCGTGACAGCCATGAATGTACGTGATTTTTTTCCGAGCCAGCGGCGATCCGAAGTTACATGTCCTCACGCCAGTGTCGTTTTTGCAACGGCGATCACGGCAATGGCGCGATGATGCACAGACACTCCGGCGCTCCCTCGCCGATTGGCGTCGTATTCGAGCCTTTTGTCGAAATCACGATTACGATGTCTAGGGTAGTTGGCTAGAGTTAAGACTGACGACTATCGAGTGCACAAGTTGCAATTATGCCCGAATCGAGGTGATTTTCTTGCGTGTCGTCGTGCGTTCTGCTTGGCTTTGTGTTTGAATAGTGGACGCCGCCCGCCTTGCGCTTGGAGAGCGCTGACGAGGTACAGCACCCTTCATGATACCACCGGCGGCCCAATCAACGTCTATTTTACTTGTGGCCTTTCTGTCGTAAAGAAACAAGACCAGTTACGTGACTGACACAAATCCCCAACGTACGAGCCATCTCTTTCTTGCGTAAAACTAGTGCGGCTGCGTTGTGTGATTTGGCACCGGTGGTGCTGCATCCTTGATACAGTGGGGGGTGCCCGTGGACTGTTTGTGTCCGCAGCAATGCCAAGTGCTTGAAACCGGCCATGGAACTCGGCAGATGTATGTGATAGGTCTACATAGCTAAGTTTGACGGCCCAAGATTCGCTTCGCGTGTTTTTTTTGCCCTCCCCGCGCGGTTGGTTGATTCAGTACACGATGACCATGCTGGACGACACCGCCCCGGTGGTGAGAGCAACGGCAGTGCGGTCCCTGCGGGCGTTGCTAGGCATGGTGACCTCCTTCCCCCCCAGCGACTCCAACATCTTCCTGCTCTACATCTTCCCCGCGCTCCAGGTACTGACTGTACCGCTGAGATAATTTTTTTTTGGTTGGTTGGTTGGGGTGGTCATTTGCGTTTGGGGGTTGGGAGCAGTGATGCGACAGGCGCTAGTCGTAGGGTGCTGGCTTGTCTTGACAGGCCGTTGCTATGCTGGCTAGATTAGTTTGTACCTTGGACTCTTTAAGTACGGTGTTTGACAGGTGATGGGAAACTGTGCTATTCACTGCTTGTGGGCACCTCGTCATCAACGCACAGACTGTGCACGGGCTCCTCCAAGGTTCACCGACCTTCTTTTGCATACGTACGGCCCCGTCACTTCCGCTCAACTCGGTTCGATAGCCATCTCGACGATATGCATCGTTTTCTTTTCTGCAATTCTCGGTTCGAATTTGAACCCCGACACAAACAACACGCCTCGTTTATTTTTTTTCTTCTTCTTGCAATGCAACATATCGCCTGATGCTTTTTTTTTTTTTAATTGGCCAATTAGCGCGTTCCGTCGGACTCGTCGGACCTGGTCCGCATCGCCTTCGCCGAGAGCCTGGCGTCTCTGGCCGAGACCAGCAGGAGGTTCTTGGAGACGGCGTTCGCCATGCGTCGGGCCGCCGCGGCCTCTGCCGCCGCAGTTTCGGCGGCTGCTACGGCTGCGGCGGCGTCTGCAGCGGCGGCGGCGACCGGGGCGGCTGAGTCGGGGTCAGCCCCGACGTCTGAAGGCCGTCGCCAGGTTGGTTTTTATTTGATGGCTGTGTTTTTGTTTGATGGCTGTGTTTTTGTGTTGTGTTTTTGTGTTTTTCGTGGTGCGAGTGGGGAACTGCTGTGCCAGTTTGCGAGGTTGTGCGTTTTGTTTTGGGGGGCGCGCTGTTTTCGTTCGGGGTGGCCGTTCAAGCGTTTCTTGGGTAACTGCTGCTGCTGCTGCTGC